GGGTAAAATATTAAATCCATTAAGAGTACCTGTAAATCAAACGGTAACATTGAATGGCCGTGAAATTCTTAACAATGAATATCTACTAGCGCTACACAACAAGCTGAACAGTTCCTTAATAACAGCGCGATTGTCGACAGACTTTCAAGAAGGAAATATGAAATCAATTAATTAAGTTAAGATCAATAAGCAAGCTGTGCTATTCCATGCTCTCCAGTGACCATCCACTTTTGGTCAGGTTCTTTTTCCATACGTGCAGCAACAGCGTCTGGAAGACCAGCTACTGTTTCCGATTTGAGGGTCCGTAGGGCGAGTATTGGTGCCGGCAGGAAACCGCATAAAGCTGTCTGAAATAGGTTTTCTGTCTGCCACAAAGGACGCGGAAGGGGATAAAATACGAAAAAGCGAGAAGTAGCGCGAGGAAGGGAGAGAAATTTCATTTCAGGAGACCTACTTTGGGCCCAGTATTTCCTAGTACTCCCGTTTACTCGACAGATTGAAACGGGTCCACTCTCTTGAGTCCTGATACAAATGGAGCATGGATCTCCTGACTTACCCAACCACTTCCTCCCCCTCCCCCCCCCCTTCCAAGGGGACGGAGCACTCGACACTATGGAGCACTACGTACCCCGAGCAGTCAACCAATGAAAAAAAGAGCAGTGTTGCCAAGGCGACGTACACAAGGCAATGTATGGTCTCAACGACACACTTCGCCTTCGTTTCATATTCAGACGCTTTCTTTGGACATGGTACTCCTGCCAGCAAGCATGGGAATGGGCTACTTTCGCAGCTCAAGGTACAGAAAGCGCGACTCGCTCGTCACGAAGCCACGCCCCGCCCACTAGCCATGGCAACGCCTAGCTCCATTTCTGAAGGTATCCCGGCGATGCGGTTGTTCTGCTTCTTCCATTTCAAGTGGTAAGAGCGAGGTGATAAGGAGAAAGAGCTACTCTCAACGAGTGAGAACTCGTCCGACCACGCCCTTTTTTGCCTCACTTCTTATGCGGTTGGGCATGAAGTACTATATGAAGCATTCTGGACGGATTTTTCTGCTTTTTCTTCTTTTCTGAGTTTTAGCACCTCGTCATTAGTATTTGGGTCACATAAATAATCATTTTTGAAAGCGGGGACTGCTTTTATGCAGCGTTCATAGCGCGCCAGCGTACAGCAGCGTCTTCGCGGGCAGTTTTGCTCAAGTTCAAAAGTGCCCGCGAAAACGCTGTTGTACGCGGTTGGACGCTGGCGTTCACAGATCTATACTTTCATAGTGCTGACGTTCGCGTACGTCGAACGCTACCGCACGCTGGCGTACGCTGATTCAAAGTATAAACGCAATCTTACATTGCTCGCGCCACATGCTGTGGACGCGACTACACTTCATCAGGAAAAACTGAGGTTCGTCAGAAGAATGCCGAGAAAGGATATCTGTACTCACCTTCAATGGAGTTCTATACGGCCAGTCTCTATCGCCAACTAATTTTCTATAATTCAGATCTCCTTTGAACATGATCAGTGAAGCTTCCGTCAATTGTACGTACAGCTCGCGAGCCACTGATTTCATCTTACAATAAGGGTGAGGATATGTCCAAAATCGATGATCGTGAAAGACCAGTTGACCCTAAATCGTTAATATAATTTTAAAAATATCTGAAACAATGCTATTATTAACTTGCCTTTTTCAGCCGTGTAGACAGCTTTTCATACATAGTGCTGAATACATCTCCACGTTTTTTCAACTCCGTCATTGTCCATTCGAAGTCACCTCCCGTTACATCAGAGACGAAGTAAGGATACTCCTGGAAATGCATTGAAAACACTGTCCGCGCTCTCAGTTTGGGCAGGGTAAGAAGCACCATTGTGCCCTCCTCGTTGACACCACTCCTTTTTTTGTAAGGAAGCGCAGCAAATGAGAAGGCACAAAGGTAGTCCGACTCCACCCACATGATGACCATGAGGTGAGTCTCTGTTATAAAATTAGAACAGTCTACCCAGATGCATCTGGTGCCTACCCAGATCTTCATACCTTTCCATGCAGTACTGTCTTGTCGACGAGCTTTGTTTGCATGAGATACTCGGCGAGAATGAGATCACCCATAAGTTCAGGGCCAGCATTATCGAGGACGATGTGGAGCTGTCTCGAACCTGCCTTATTCGGCCTGAAAAGAGTTCGTCATGAGAGGGAGCTGATGTCGCCTTTGCCTGCGCATTCCTACCAATAGTGACACCCCGCCAGATTGCCACGATATCAACTGTATACAGGGGAGGGGGGGGGGCAAAAAAAAGACACTTTTCTTCCTTGACTTTCAAGGCGCTATAAGTTACACTTTATTAAATTCTGACTGGACATTTCCACCACCATATTCAACAGCACATTGTACACTATCATGATACTCCGCCACAGCCTTTACCAGCGCCATCGAGAGATTCTGCCACGCGACCGTGATTCGGTGCCTGAGTTCAGCGAGATCGTTGATTTCTCCGCCACTGTAGACCACCCTGTTGAGCTCCGCCCGAACCGGGTAATTGAGGGGTTCAGGTCAGGTGACACACTTAGATATTCCGTCTTCTTCAGGTACTCAACGCCCTTCCATTCCAAGTAGGCGAGAGTTTTTCCAACGCCCTTCGATTCCATGTGGTGGCACCCAATCCTGTAGCAGTACGAAGTTTCCAAGATGGTACAGGCGACGACATGAAGGCAGGATATTCTCCTCGAGTTGTCGATGTAACCGTCAGCGTTCACTTTCAGTCCGGGGTCCACGAAGAAAATATTGGTCTTTCCATTCCAGGAACTTCCGGTCCATACCATCAACCCGCGCCTTGGCGACTGCGGTGAAGATGATGTCCTAGACCGTAGCGACGTTGTCGGAGCTGCTCGATGTTGGAGGTCTTCCAGATCAAGAGTACTGGTCTCCAGGTAGCTATCCATGGACTCCATACTAGAAGTTTCGCAGCTGTTTGGAGGTGACATGAATTCCAAAGGTCTTCTCCAGTCAGGCTGCGACTGGAGATGACTTCATATTTTGGTGTACATGAAGGTGATGGGCGAGAGCCAGCTCCTGCTTATAGAGGAACATCTTGGGTATCTTCCGCCCTGGTACTCGTATCCACGTCCTCTGTCTGGGCTGCGAAAACTTTGCTGATATGTGACTCGGCCAAAGTGTCTTTTTTGCCCCGCCCCCTGTATACTCCATTGGACATCTACAACTACATGCAAAATGGCACATGCATGCATATATATATACATGCACTCTTTCACATAAGCTCCACTGCAGAGCTCTTTCAAAACTTTCTCGACATTCATTTCCTATTTCCCCACAGCACAAGTCCGAAGGAAGTTCAAGAGCCAAACGCACAAGTTCAAATCTTATCGGGGTAATAATCTGATAGCTTGGCTATCTAATCTGCTCACTTGAGTTTCAGGAAGAATTTGTCTATAGCTGTCCCGAGATCATTGCACAAAACAAACGAATCCAACTGCCGAGCACTATCTATCGGAGATTGAGCCTGGAATAAAAACGCTTTCAATGGCTCAGTCAGTTCTGGAAGAAAAAGGCAGATAAAGACGCGGGTCCAGTAAGGAGGGCAAAAGTTTGCTCCATAGAGCACTGTCCTTCCCTAGGTTCAGGTGTACAGATCAGAAAAAGGTCCTCCACCGACGCAAGCTGTTTTTCCCCACCATCTCCCACCTTTCCTCCCCATGTAAAGAAGTTGTTTGATGGGTGGGGGGGGTTGGGGGTCCTTAGACGCACTTTAACAGGATGCCCCACCTTATCGACAGCGCCAAAATAAAACGAAGATCAGATTAAGAAAATAATCCGTGATGTAGAACTCACGAGTTGTGTAGCGTCTCCACAAGACAAAGACAAGTCGCATCTATTCCCCCATAAGCACATCTGAAAAAGGTTAGTTTTTCTTTCACAGTTTTTGATAGATAATGCGGGGCATGTATCCCAGAATTCGAAGATTTGCGAGTAGGTCGAAAGCGCAAAAAACCTATCCCGAAAAAGCTGAGCAAGAGATCCATACTAACAACTGAAATACTGTTTGTGATAGACCGGTTAACCCTTTTTCGCATGTGCGGGGATATTGAAAACAACCGTCAATTACACCGCGGCCGTGTGCGCACCCCCGCGCGGCGCAACATGCGACGGTGCGCGCAAATTCCTCGATCTGCTCGTATTATTCGATTGAGAGCCACCAAATCAGTGACAATCCACAGCAAGACAAAACTTTATATTCCCGATTGATATTTTTTTTTCAATTCTCACCCGTCCTTGAAACATGACGAAAAATAAACGGCGACTCCGTTCCCCGCATGCACGGCGTCGCTCACGACACCAGGCGCGGCATCATTCATGATTGTTTTGATTGTCTATATCACACCCATCGGAGAGCCACTTTGTTGCGCCAGGCGAACAGGAAGCTTCACTCAGGTGTTAGCGCCCAGAAGAGCATTTGACTACCAGAGTCACCAGCCGCCCTTTGGCGCGTGATGAGCGTCGCGTGCGACGTCGCTCGCGCCCGCAAATGACGATGGTTCTAGGTCGTAGATGGCGACAACGGGCAGTTCAGAACCGAAAATAGTCACGATGACTATGATGACGGCGTCTACATGAAGTCCGGTGCTCCAGTCGACAGGTTAACACGAGTTAAGAAAACGCCGCGCCGATCGCTGCGCGCGGCGGAGCGGCAAATCACGATCCTCTTGCCCGTCTCCCTCAAAACGCAGAAAAGCGGATCCGCGCGGCCCCACCCAACTACACATCTCCAGAAATCGCAGCTTCCCTCATGAACATCACGAATGTCAACGACTCACCTTTAAGAGAACCTCTAATGTTTCACGTTCCTGCTGTATAGTCAAATTCTGAGCAACGGCGAACATATACTTGATACCATCTCGTATTTGTTCTATGCTAAACAAAGAAGCGTTAAGTCAATGGAGCTGTGCTGCTTTAACAGTGTAATTCAGTACATCCCAGTCGCATTGAGTGCGATGAAAGAATTGTGACAAACTTGTCACGTGCGCGGCATTTAAACCAGGACCTGACTGGGTGCCACTTCTACTACGAACCGCGATAGTAGCCCGATTGTTTCAACATGGCACTGCTGCATAGTGTCGAGCCATCAAGCTAGGAAATCCCAGGACCCGGGCGATTCTATCGTCGACAAGACAGGTCACGTCGCACACGTCGCGTCGCGGCACGGCAATCCCGGCGTTGCATTACCGTACTCCCGAGTTGTCACTAAGGGATTAGCGTTGTTTCAAAGGTAACCTCAAGAGTAAGAGTAATAGTCAATAATCATAACAGGAAAGGAAATAGGATAGGAAAGACATAATAGAAAAAAAGATAACAAAATAGGATGACTCTTTCAAATTGTTAAGGGATCGTCAACCCCAATTTGAACGCCGCGCAACAGAACTCGTACGCGGCGGCCGCCACGCCGCCGGCTCCGCCCACCAGCGCGACGACCCACTTATCGTCGACGATAGAATCGTCGCATACCCGGAAATCCCTTGTCAGTTTAAGCGCGCGACTCGCATGTCCTGAACTACACCCCTTTCTTATCAATACGATCTTACTGGCTGTTGAATCCTTCAACCTTTTGTTCCATGAAAAAATCGAAACTTTTCAGATATTTTGTCTTCGCTGTACATCCAACGAGTCTTCTGTACAAATAACATTCCGCGAATAACCACTCGGTTTTGAACCACGTTACCTCATCTTCACCATGCTGTAATATCTTGAGTGAGCAAGGAACGTAGGGCGCTATACGGCCTGGGGAGGGCATTTTGCACTGTTGTTTGTTCATTTTGCAAGTTCGTGTTAAGTAACAGCTCTCACTTTGGTGAGTCCTGTGAACATTTGTGAAACAGCGAAATGGCAGAAGTGACCCAATTTGGTTACAGAAATCTACAGATCTTAGCAAGAGGCCCAGTACAAGGTTTAATCAGTAGCATTTTGCCCCACCAAGTCGATCTGCGTTGAATACAGAAATACATAATGTCTTACCTGAGCCCTCATTCGAGACAGAGCTTTATTCCACATATCGTAGCTGAATGACGTGTCACTGAGGTCTTCTAAAGGTTTATCAGTCGAGATCCGATAACGAAGCTCGGACAGCTCTCCTATGATTGCCTTCACGTCTGCATCCGCCTCCTTTAACAAAAGCAATTGAATCAATTACGCTGAAGCTGTTTACCTAGAGCTTCTTTCACTAGGCGCTCCTTTTCCGCCTTGTCAAAGGTTCTGAACAGGTGCAAAAATGGGGAGTTGCGCGGCTCGAATACTAATGGCAAGGAATTAATAGATTGAGTCGGGGAAGAAAAAAAATGGCCAGAAATGCCCCATATAGAAAAAGATGAAGAACAGCGCTTGTACGTACACAAGGCATAGAAAGGGCGTGGTCAGATGAGTTCTCAAATGATGGTGCCATCTCTCTCCCCTCATCACATCACTCTCACCATCCGAAAGGGAGACAGCCAGCGGCGGAACCACCGCATCAACACGTTGCATTTACGAATGAAGGTTGGGCGTCCTCTTGGCCAGTGGGCGGAGCCGCGGTTCCGTCGCGACAGACTTTCCTTATGTATTTTTGTGCTGCGAAAGTAGTACATCTTCCATGCTTGCAGGCTGGACTACCATGGCGCGTGAACATCAAATAAGCACTGAATATGGTTTCAGCTCTGCACAACTGGCAAACAGATGACGTGGGGTTTGGAATGTGGAAGATTTCTCGAGTCCACGTCGCTTAGGACCATCAGTGACATCACTCCGCAAGGTAAGCTTCAGCTTCGCTAGCACCTTCCCCTGCTAGTAGAAACTAGCAGGAACGCTTGCGGGGTAGCAGGGGAAAACCACTTTTCACAATGTCTGGAAGAGCACTAGGTTACCCACTTCGAACTCCTCCCCTCCTAGTTTGAAGGCAACTGTTAACTCACACCCGAGGATCCTGATCCTTGTCATATACGAACCGAATAGACCCGTGGCTGGTAGCGTGCAAGTTTCACCGGATAAAAATGCTTGGGAACGGGGATTCGCCAGGGTAGTGCTATCCGGGCGCGTGTGGGACCCCGCCCGCGCAGCTGAGCGACCATCCACACGCTTAACATAGCCAATCACGCTATTGTCTGCACCCTCTTATTCCTAGTTGTTCTCTGGGGCTGAGTGGTAGCTAGACATCGGTATTGACGGAAGTGCTGTACCTTGAGAATAGTGTAGGCGAAGTATGGAAAGACACCCGTCACCTTTTTTTTGTCTCACATCCTGATGCACTCAAGTGATGAAAGTGTTACACTTGTACAACCGCCAACCCGTTCTCTCGTGCATGTCAAGTACCGTCCTCCTGGGTAAACGTATCATTCCCGTAATTCAGTTTTGCACAAGGAATCCTTTGGATGACCCCCCGCTTAGCCATCCCATACTGGGAGTGTTTCTATCATTCAGTATGAACCAATACAGCAAAAACGATTCCCTCACCGGTCCATATTGATCGATGAAGTCTCGCCGTTTACGGTGGAAGTGATCCACTGTTTTAGCGATGGTCTTTGGCCAACGTTCAGAAATCGTATAGAATACGAACGAACTGAAGAGACAGATGTGCAGGAAAAGATTATAAAAACAAGAACGGAACAAGGATGAACCCACTCTTCCTTGAGTCCATTAAGCTTCGGAGGTAGTTCATCATCACTGCTAATGAGGTTGCCCATGTCTGACATTGAAACACTGGCAACTGGAAAGGTTAAATACTGGAAGAAATCATGAAATCATTCGTAAACAAGTATGATTGTTCTCGATAAAAGTTAAAAATGAGTGGTCAATCTTACTTCTATCCCGTGCTGTACGTCAGAAACACCCACTTTTTGGTCATGGACATACCCCCTGTAAGCGTCCACCTATGCAATTCCTGATGCTCTTCATCTCATCTTTATCTTATCTTCTTAAACAGGCGTTTCCTTCCCAGTACGTTCTTTCCGCAACGTTCCTGTGCTTTATGCCATCGCTTTTCGTCCCATAACCTCGTTTTACATTCCACGAAGAATCCCTCTCAGGGATGTGACAAGACAGTCGTAATACATCACGTGCGACGTCGCGGCCGCAAATAGCGATGTTTCTAAGAGGGCGACACTAGACCATGCATGTGGCCAAAAATACCCTTATTACCGGTGGCATGGTCTACATGAAATCCGCTGCTCCAACCGACAGGTTAAGCTGCAAATTACGATTGTCCAGAGCGTCTCCCCCACCTCCCCTCTAGAACCACGCCAATAAGAACAGCTGCTCTCATTTCCACAAAGCTCATGCTCCCCTTCTATGTTCTAAGGAGGCAGGAATTATCGTACCTCCTGGTCCTGGTTCCAAAGTGCCTATTGGGTTGCAGACTAGAAGCCCTGTCCTGAAGGCTCTGACCACTGCAGATATTCCTCCTGCAAACCCGCGTTCATACTTCGCGACACCTGCGACCCAAATGTGCGGCTGTAACTGACCGCGCTCCATCTCCAGTCGTGGCATTGGTTCGTAATAAGTTCGTCCTTATTGTTGTTAAATTAGTAGTTCTAGGGTCCAGCGATAAGCGGTGAAACGTAGCCCGTCCCAGTCGGTCGACTCCCGAATAGCGCGACTAGACGGTCGAAGTCCCGAAGTATACACGCACAACAACTCGCTACCCTTTGCTTCAGCGCTTCATCTTTTACGGCCTTTTTTCGTTAGAATCCCCGTCCTCCCGTCCTTGCCTCTCCGTTCTATACCCCGCCCCTCAGTCCTACCACACAATAAAATGTGGTGACGTGGGTGGAGAGTCGAAGCAGTGCTTACGTGCACCCCCCTACCAATCCGCCAAACATCTCCAAAATTGAAACCGCTCATGGCAACATTGCTACACACGTTTTTCAACTATAGAGATAGTGTACTATGGATCGTTCACATAGTCAGAAGCTTCAGATTTTAATAACCATGGAAATTCCATACAGGCAGCAATAACACTCTTTATTAACAAATATTATGTTATCACACAACGACAAAAACATAAATAAAGCCAACCTGATATGCTGATTGACTGAACAGAATTATCCCTAGTCAAGGAGTTCCCGAAAAGCAACGAAGACACGACAAATAGTTACGACAAAGACAACCGCAAAAGAAATTATCAAATAACACCGGAATATGCAGTGAAGAGACGTTTTCTACTGCTCGCCTTTGAGCAAGTTCTCGTACAGTTGATCAACCTCTTTCTTCAGCAATGGGAATGAGGACCTTCAAACACTATATGAGCATAGAGCAATGTAGCACAAGAATCAATGAAGCTTACCTCTCCATTTTCGTTGATGTACGCTCCAATCGATTTTGTGATTTTTCCCTGACCAGATCGCGACTCCTTGCAGAATTCAGCCGAAAGCGTATATTTGTCGTCATAACTGCAACAAAGTATTTTTTTTTCCAAAATGGAATAAACAGAACGGGTGAAGTCAGGAATCGCGTCCTATGAGAAAGGATCATTTAGGAATAAACTGGATGTATTTCCTAGACAGCTTCATACTTCGCGATTGGTGCGATTATCAAATCGCGCGACTGCGACCGAGCGCGCTCTATTGCTAATCGCTGGGCGAGTTTAACTGCTAAGCCGATCGCAGTTAAAAACGAACCACTTAATGGTCCAGCTGCCCATGATCAATGGTGGAGCACCATTGGCTGTAGTCGCACATTTGAAAATCGCAAAGTTTGAACTCGAATTAACCTCTGGATAAGCTGCAATCAAGGGGGAGAGGGGAGGAGGAGGAATGAGGACAACCGAAAGTAATAAAACCAATGATGGAAAAAAACACGCCGTTCACGTTCGCTTCGCATGCTCTAACTCTCACTCGAGGTGAACAAGTTACTTCCTCTGTGCCTTTTTAGGCGAATGTAAGTCGTGCAGTGCCAAACTGTGCCGCCTTGCACACGCTCGGTCCGGAAGCCAAAACTTGAACCGTCTCTCAACCGAGCCAACCAACCCTTCCCTCCCTCGCGGGCTGGTTAATTGGTCAGCCTCACCTGAGATAAAAAAAAACCCTGATTTCCACCGGCAGGCTTCTGCAAATTCGCCCTATGGGCCAAACATTTGAATGTCATTCGATTAATGTGAGCAAAAGGCGTGGCACATTTCAACGACCGCGAATCCCCTTCATTACTTCATTCATAACTAGTTGAATGGTAGATAGAATGAGAAAAAAATCGAGTGAGTCAGGCAATGAGGGTACATGAAGGGTGTGGAGGAATACGCGGCGCAGAACAATCCGATCAGCGTCGAATTCTTTACCCGCATTGACTTTATCCCTGCTTTGCCCTTTTCAGCTTTGTCCGACTCGTTCAAACCTAAACTACATCTTTAAAAATTATCACAGTGCAGCTTGAGCGGCAAACATCCCTGATTTTGAGGGAGAATGGCTCTAGGCTTGACAGGTCTTGTAAACCGGAACTACCAAAGCATCGCAAGTGCAAATAACTCCGTCCCCCCTCCCGTCGCCGAACTACGCCCAAATTCTGTCACCGACACTAGCGTTATATCGGAAGGGTTACGTCACTACTTGAATGCATCTACATGGCCCTGATGTTATACGCTCTAGTGCAGACAGATAGATGACAGCAAACTCGGTCAAAGCTGCGAAAGAACATGTGGCTAGCCAAGAGTAGGCTTCTTCAAGGCGGGAATGTACCCCGGTGAATGAACCACTTGTCACGCCGTGAATAGTTTGAAAAGTGACAGCGGCACATTGAACGGCATTGCAGAGAAATGTTAAGATGAAGACCAGCAAAATTAACGCGATTGGAGGATGAGATCAGTCTGTCCGTAGACCCAGCGGCATTTCCGTTCCTTCGCCGTAACGTGGGCCTACTTGCCAATTTTTTGAGCCACATAAAAATGCTTGAGCATTTAAACCTTTACTACACACAATTCCAAGAAACTGAAATACAAATACCTGTATGCGTTTCAAGACGGCCGTCCGTAATTGCAAAAGAAAGAGGCGTGGCGCATCGCATTTGGACAATTAGCTGGGCAGCCCTTGGCAACTATTTAGTCTTCAGATTTTCTCTTCACCATGGAGTAATGAATGCCAAAGCGTGAAAGGGGGGGGGGGGGATTTTAGCGCAGGTGTACCACAGACTCTTTACTGTTGTGAGCTAGAAGATGACGTCTTCATGGAAATTAAGTGACATCTCACATAGCACGTAAGGACAAGGAAATCGGTATTGTACTAATGTCAGCGACGTCTTAAGACACGTCATTAACGCGTTAGTGACGTCAATGACACGTCATCCTTTTCTTTAGAGCGCGTTCATACTGCGTGATCCGAACGCGCCACGCCACCAAGCACTTTAACGCGCAGAGTATCGGAAACGCTCTAGTGGATGATGAATGCATTGAACATAAGCGAGCTTACATCGCGCTAAAAATTTCGAAGGCAAAGTGAAAAGTCACTCAAGTTTTCAGCTCGGAGCTGCCATTTGCCCACCGAATCCTGCTTTCTGTTTACCGTCCGCATCGCTCAGCTTGATAAAAAGTAGCGTTTTCTCGCCTGTACGCATCTGATACAACTGTAGCACTCCCATGAGTATGAAATACGTGATGGAACAGACGGCAAGAACAATCTTCGACTTTGGGAATGGGTGAATGTAATCGTAGACAATAGCAAATCCAGAAAAGCAAACAGCGATAAATGAAATAAGCAGCCTTCCGTCCATCAGAGAGTGATACTCTTTCCATCCTACTCTGTCGTTCAAAATCTTAAAAAAATATGTATAAAGCAATTTCGTATAGTGATTTCATCAGAGCGCATTCATACTTTGCGTCAGCGTTTTGAACGACTAGGAAAAAAGATAGGTATAGATCTAGCGCTTTAAATGTCAGCGTTTTGAGCGTCCAACAGCGTTCTATGCGGGAGCGTTTCGAGCGACTAAGAAAGAGTGATTCATGGAAATTAAGTGACATCTCACATAGCACGTAAGGACAAGGAAATCGGTATTGTACTAATGTCAGCGACGTCTTAAGACACGTCATTAACGCGTTAGTGACGTCAATGACACGTCATCCTTTTCTTAGAGCGCGTTCATACTGCGTGATCCGAACGCGCCACGCAAGCAATTTTACCGCGTGATTATCGTTGAAAACGCTGCCGCAAACTATGAACCCACTCTCACCCAAAGTTGTTTCCACACGAGCGGTCGTCCAGTGTGTTTTTTACAGTCGGTCCATCCCACTTATTGATTTTAATGGGATCCGTTGACTTTCCGGTCATTTCTACCTGAACAGTGAAGTAAAATGGAAAAGAGAGAATAAAGAAACAAACAACAACTTGTGGTGGTGATGATTTTCTGAGCGAAACCGCTGTAAACGAAATAAGAATTTTATCGGTACGAAGTGAATGAAACGGAGACAAGATATGCATATTGCATATTATCATGCAAGGGATGTCCAATTCATTCTGTACATTTCAGAAGCGAAGAGATATGAGAAAGCATGGCAACGTGGCATACAACTAAGGGCGCCATTCTTTCGTACAGATGCGCTGTGTGCCGTTGCGAACTTTGCGGAGCTACAGTAACCTCGCACCTAGTTCCATTGTTCGTTGGGGACGTAGCACCTTATTGAGTTTTGGTGATTATATTAAAGTGTGACATCTATGAGTATCTTTTAGTCCTAGACTCTTCCTGTGCAGTAGCCTCGTGGGCATTTTCGAGGAAGGAACGATATCATCGACCGAAAACCTCTAATTTACATACGCATAAGGTAGTCCCATGGTTTCTCCAAATTCGCGTAATTCACATACGCATGAAGGGACCAAACGCATTACGAAGTAAAAAATAAGGGAAGCAAGTAAAATCTTAGTAAACTAATTCTTCCAAGCATAACAGTGTTCCCTCTATAGAGGTCCCCTTGAAAAAAAATACATAAAATGTAGTAAACCATAGAGTTATGAGTGAACATTCAGTACTCCCAACCCAAGGATGCTCCCACGGTTTCTCCACGCTCCATATTGTTTGGGGAGCGTGGCAAACTCCGCTTTATAAAGCCGCACGCTTTCGCCTCTCGCCGAAATCATAAAAGTCTGGCACTCGTCAAATCGCTGGTCTAGGAAGTGAGTCGAGCAGAACGGTAGTAAAAAACCACAGTAACTTTACAGGACATGTTTACCGTTCCCAAGAAGAGATACACCGTTTCCGTGTGATGGTGACCAGTCCCCTCGGCAGACTTGCAGGGCTTCTCATTGTTTGCGCCCCTGACTTTCGTAACTCGAAAATTTTTGTCATTTGCTGTATCATGAAGAGCTCTCTTATTCCAGTCTGCTCCACAAAAATAAGCAGCTGCAATCAATCATGGACTATGGCGCAATCGCAGTATGTACACGTATTATCACATAACCGCTATCTTTTCACATATATTAACAGAATAACACATAGAGTCCGCTATCGTGGCCCTTTGTGCTTTGACCTGTTGGGGAATGGTGACGAAGGGGAAGCTATCTGAAAATCTGTATCCCCCTCCGCTCGAATATAGACGCATCTTCCACGAAGTCTCTCCTCGACATTGAATAAAACTGGGCGTAAGGTTACTGTAGCCCCGCAGTGTACGCAATGGCAACACAGCCGCATCTGTACGAAAGAATGGCGCCTACAACTAAGTTCTTCCTGTGATCTGACTTGACCTACTCAGGAGCAAATGAATGTAATTGAATAAATTTGGCTAGTAGCTGAAGTCTCTTCAAGTCGCCGCTAAATCTACAACAGGAAAAATTCAGGGCCGAGTTTCCCGGGACAACTATCAAGTATTTGCGTCAACTATACAGTAACTATGCGTCTTCGCCAATCAATAGCCGATATTTCAGCCACTGCATTTTCAGAGGAATCCGTGGTGCTAACGTATTTGGGGGGGGGGGGACCACGCGGCTCGCGGCGAGTGATGACTCATCGACTCTTCTGCTTCCTCCCCGGCAAAATAGAAGTAATTTTATATTTAGGAAGAGGATACAACACCATCTTAGCTATATTCAATTGTTAAAATAGTCAACGCTGAAAAGTGTGAGGAAAAAATTGTAGGCTGGAAGGTTCTACTGCAAAAGATTGCTGCCTGCTTGTTGTTTACTGTTATTGTTGACTACGACAAATCAAGAGCTATGCAAAGCGGACACTGGCCCCTCTGATAGTTGTGATTACACCACTTGCGCGCTACTGCGCGCTACCGTATCCCACGCCTAAAAATAAATATTTTCCAGGGCTCTAATCAATCATTTCTTTCCTGTTCGTGATTTGTTTTCATTTTTCTCTTCCCTATTCGTGATTTTTTTCATTTTCTCGTTCCTATTCGTGATTTTCTCATTTTTCTTTGTTCTGCCTCATTGCGCTCTGTTTAGTTTGCTGTTGGGAGCAGCATTTTCACTTTTTCATTGCAGCTCGTAGGTTGGGACGTTGAAGTGGAACAATTGTTCTCATTATGAGTTCGCACTCTCCAGGGAATTCCGCTCACATAGGTTCTGTCCTAGTTGGATGCACCGAAAAGTCACTCCCATCATTTGCAGGTGAGCCTTTCTTCTTAGCCCATGTAGTGTGAGGCCCGATGATCACAGTGAGCTGCGGTGAACAGCAGTACCACAATTATTTATTAGGAAAAATATAGAACAGAAGATTGAAGAGATGAACAGTTAGAGAATAATCGTAGTTGAGCCCTGGAGAGGAGTTGACGGAGTCGATCGACGAAGTCCTCGATTGTTTGATCCTTGGCGGCTGGCGCTGACGGCGTGGAAATGGAACGGTCCTTCTAGTGTTCGGCCCCCTTTTATAGGGTCCCTCTGACCCTTTTGACCCCCGCCGAGGTGACCTCCTCGAGATCGCCAGGCCTCGGCCGGCGACCCCCCCTGATCTCCCCTCGGGGAGCCGGCGCCCTCGACGGCGGTGTTCTAACGGAATCAGCTGGGGCAAAGTCGCTTCCTCTGCTTTCAGGGGACTCGATAATAGCACTTCTGGACCCAACAGCATCCAGTTTATTCACTTTAGCTTTTGGTTTTCTCCCTCTTTTTCCTCTACTAGTTATCGTATCTACTCTTTCATCCGAAATTTGCTTCGGCACAACTCTCAGCATATCGTACTGAACCTGGATTGGTTCTGAGTTCTCTCCTATTCGGGTTATCATCCGCCGAATTATCACTTGTTTCAATAACACGAAAGGGTCCAGCCCACTCGCTGACCAGCTTGGGGTGCGAACTTAGAGCTTTTTCTCTAGGCGCACGTAAATAAACTCTATCTCCCAATTTTGGAAGCCTATCAGTATCTACTTTATTTCTTCTATCGTACTCGTTTTTTTTCATGCTCTCTCTTGTGCGTTCATTGTACTCACGAACTCTTTCGTGGGTCTCCATTATGCATTGCATCAATCCCATTTTATAATCGTCTATTCTATCTACAGCGTATACCGATATTTCGTTATTCGGTACGATCTCTGAAGGAAAATGCGGATCCATTCCATGCAGCAAAAAATAAGGGCTTTCACCCGTGGATCTATGAGGGGTCATGTTGTATGCAAGCATACAAAAGGGTAGTCTTTTGTCCCATTCTGTTGGCACTTTTGTCGACCTTCTCAGCATTGCCACAATGGTGCCATTCAATCTCTCTGTGATGCCATTTTCGCGAGGATTATACCCTTTTGTCATTATGTGGTTGATTTTGGTGACTTTCATCAACTCGGCCATAACCTTATTCTCAAACTCGCCTCCTTTATCAGAAAGTATTGCCTTGGGCCACCTGCACCCATCGGCTATCCATCTCGTGAAAATCACGTTCGCTATTGTTTCGGCGGACTTATCCGCAGTTGGGTATGCCTGTGCGAACTTAGAAAAGTGGTCAATAACTGTGACCGCATACTTGTTCCCACTCGTGGTCAAACCCAGTTCTAGCACATCCACGCCTATAAGCTCATACGGCTTGGTGGTCACGATTGGCTTAAGCGGCGGTACCCCCACCGGTCTGGGATTGTGAACAAAACACTGTTGGCATTCCTTCGTCCACCTGCTCACGTCTTGAGTCATAGTCGGCCAATATACCTCTTTGCGCAGTTTTTTTAGCAACTTAAACGCACTGAAATGGCCCGCTACCGCACCAGCGTGGGCTTCATGAAAGATCTCATATCTTGCGCTTTTGGGAACCACAAATACCAGTGCTCCCTCCTCATTATACATCTTGAGATTTCCATTCTCAACAATAAAATCTGCCACTCGGACCCAGTTATTTGTGCCTCTCATCCTCACTGTACGGTCCACGTCATTTTTATCAATAGCGTCCACTATCTGCGAAAAATCTTCGTCTTGCTCCAACTCTTTGAGCCACTTCATCTTTTTACCTACGCTCAATATTCACTACCGCTTCGTTGATACCTTGCATAAGATAATCGAGCTTTCTTCTAATCTATGGTGCTCCTCTGCTGCAATCCGTTCAGAGCAACACCATTCGCCTTCCCTTTCACATACTTGATTTCCAGTTTATATCTTTGCACTTCAAGCGACCATCTAAGCACTCTTGCTGAGACGTTATTCCTTTTGAACAACGCCGTTAGCGGTTGATGATCGGTCATAACGGTCGTACGGACGCCGTAGATGAACATGTGGAACCTTTTGATTGCAAACATGACGGCTAAGGCTTCTAGATCAGTTACATGGTAACGTTTTTCTGCTTTGCTTAAGGACTTTGATGCAAAGTAGATAGGGTGCAGGTAATGATCGTCATCCTCTTGTGCTAGTACGGCACCCAATCCGGTCGTAGAAGCATCGGTACATATGACAAAAGGTTTTTCCCCACTTCGTGCCTTT